GTTCAATCCCCAGCACTGGGGATTAAGTGAAACCTAAGAAGAAAGGAATTAGGCCCCCCTTTAACAGGAAAATACTATTTTCGAAAAATTTCAAAAATTACTTTTGTACTGCTTCATCTGGTGATGCCGTTTGCAAACCACAAACAAAACAAAAACATAATTTTTTTTTAAAATAACAAAACCCACAAAACCGTCTCCTCCCCCCTCTCTTTGCTTCAAGTAGAAAAGCAATTGTTTCTTAAAACAGCTCATGAAGGAAACAAAACAAAACAAATATTTAGCATTTCTCTGGGGGCAGCGCCGTCTGGCATTCCTTTCAGCCCCAGAATGAGCTCTAATTCTATGAAATGTTTGGCTCGGCCACCAGTTTTCTAGAGGAATTTAAGAGCCTTGTATCTGTGCTCATGCATCACGTGAAGAAACCTCGTAAAATCTGCCCAGCGTCCTGGACCCGGTGGGATGTGCTTGCCAAGGACAAAGTGACCACCAGTAGAGTTGACAGGGAGAAGGAGATCTCTGTCGGCCTTTACTGACAGCGCCGTGTTCTTAGCTTCAGTCTCTGGGGCTTGGCTGGGCTGCCTACCACTTCCACTGGTCACGGGGCTGTAAAAACTCCAGCTGAGCCCAGTGCCTCGCACCCGACTTTGCTTGTTCCATGTTCCCTACACCCAGGAACATTCGGCATCTGGTAATTGGGTGAGAGGCATTGGATAGCATGTGGTACACTGAATGCCCCCTGTTCATGGTGCATGCTGCCTGCCCCACCCCCACCCCAACTTGTTTTTAATCTCTCTACTGCCCTAGACCAGCGCTGTCAAATAGGGACACCCGTGGTTATTAAAAATTAATTACCGTGAAATCAAAGGGAAAATTTAGTCTCTTGATTGCACAAACCACCTTTTAAGTGGCCAGTAGCCCTGGATGCCTGGCGTCTACCCATGGATAGTGCATGACAGATCAATTCCACCCACCCAGGAAGTTCTGTCCGGCAGAATGTATTGCTCTGTGTGTGCCAGGTTTAATGAGGTAGGCACGGGCTGCTCCTCCTCCCCGCAGCTCCTGGCACTGCCTTGCCAGCACCCCTTCCGCTACTTTGCGGTACCTCCCATGTCTAGATGGGAGCCTGGGAGATAGCGGTGAGCTTAAAGATGAGTGAGAAAATGCCTGTATCTGCATTGTTTGATGTATGCCCGAAACCTCCCCAAATACGAAATACTTCTAGGGTTGCCACTGACTGGAATTAGCTGATATTTTTGGACTATGTCCTGTGTCAGGCAGCATGCAAGCCTCTGGGGATACAGGGATGCGGTTCCTCTAGTCAGGGCGCTTGTGTATCTAGTGATTTTTTAAATTTGGAGGGACAAGCCAGTCTACGGGATATAGCTGTGGACGTTCACAGACTGTCTTTGACACCCCTACCCCACCCCTGCCCCCAAGGATCTGACTAGCAGGATTGGGGTAGTGCTTAGGACACGCAGCGTTTGCAAGTTGACCAGGATACGAAGGGAAGGGAGCCCACTGCAGCTGGCATTTTAAGAAACAGGTCTTGACAGTGCAGTAATGTCTGGAGACACACCCCACCGGTTTATGCTGTCTGTGTTTTTTTTTTAAATATTTTTTTAAATATTTATTTATTTATTATGTATACAATATTCTGTCTGTGTGTATGTCTGCTGGCCAGAAGAGGGCACCAGACCTCATTACAGGTGGTTGTGAGCCACCATGTGGTTGCCGGGAATTGAACTCAGGACCTTTGGAAGAGCAGGCAATGCTCTTAACCACTGAGCCATCTCTCTAGTCCCCCCTTTTTTTTAAAAAATATTTTTATGGTTTATTTAACTTTATTTTATGTGCATCGGTGTGAAGGTTTCAGATCCCCTGCAACTGGATCTTCAGACAGTTGTGAGCTGCCATGTGGGTGCAGGGAATTGAACTCAGGACCTTTGGAAGAGCAGGCAATGCTCTTAACCACTGAGCCATCTCTCCAGCCCCGCTGTCTGTGTTTTATAACAAGCAGAGTGCACAGAGACCCTCGGTCCTTGTCTCGGGGTAGAAGCTTGTCTTCTCTTCTTGTTATCCTACCGCGATGTGATAATAGCAACCATCTAAGAGTCATTGCGTGTCGGTGGCATTCGAAACGTGTGAAATCGCGGATCTGCATTCGTCCAGCACCTTAGGGGTGCGCACACCTGTTCCTCCTCTTTGACACTGGACGAGCGGAGGCAGAGGAAAGTGATGCTCTTTTTCACACTTCCGCAGCTTGTAAGTGGATCTGAATCCTGAACCACGATGCTACCGCCACTCACGGCCTCTGACTTAGGCAGGTTCTCTGGAAAGTCAAACGCACACTTTCTTCCAATTGCTTAGAGACAAGTCCAGGTGTATTTAGGAAGTTTGCTTGGAGAAATAACTCATGTGAACATTGTGATCTACAGCGTCTACCTCTAGATCGCTGTCTGTCCCCACAGGTCTGTCTCTGTCCCCAAGGAAAATGTTTAATTTATTCAGAGATATTCCCATAGGCCTATTGTGTGCCAGCCCTGTTTGGTGTGAGAGGTATATAACACACACACAACTTGATAAAGACTGACTGAGCCAATGTGACCCCAGGGCATTGTGCCCCGCTGGTGTGGAGAGCACCGTTTGTGTGTAGCATGGGATCCCAGAGGCTTAGGGATCTGGGCTCCTGAAGATGTCCGCATCTATGCCTGGTCACACTGCTCCTAGCAGGATGAGCCTCCCAGAGCTTTGCCCCTGGTATGTTTTCTCCACAGGGACCTGGTTGTCCAAGTCGTCCCACAGGGCCTGGGCTGCAACCTTTGGCCCTGTTGCGTCATAGGCTTGCCTGTAGCTCGGCAGCTGGTTTGTTTTCTTTCTAGGCCCCAGTGGTAGTGACCTTTGCCTGTCTGTTTATTTCAGGGAAATAATTCCATCCGGTAAGTATCGATTCCCTGGGGGGCTGCAGAGGCATGTCTGGAGGGACTTCTTTTAGTGGGGTGGCCTGAAATGGCCTCTCCAAAGAGGTGACAGCTGCTTCCTTTCTCTCAGCCCCTTCTCGCTTTGCCCTCTGACATCTCCCTCTGAGGCTTAGCGTTTGAAGCCTGACGGTAATGTGCTCAGACATATGTCTGCATAGCTCTGTGTGTTAGTAACATTGATAAGAATAACCACGAGCATGCTTGGAACGTATACAGTACCGTATGCACGCGGGCCCCGGGCATTTTCTATAGCTTAGCTCATTGCACTTTGCCTGTTCTTAGCAGTGATGGCGGTAAAGTCTAAAATCAGCTTTTTAGCCCTCCAAGGGGCAGTTATGAGTGTGCAGTGATTTCCTGGCCCTAGAGAGTGCTGTGTTTCATGATACAGAGACTGCAGGGTTGGACAGTGTTGGTCTGGCTGGGTGATAACCAAGCAGAAGTGAATGAGAAACGTTGCCTCCCAGCCCCTGCACATCCAGCCTGCCCTGAGCTGCAAGCAAGGAAATGCAGGACCTGGCGAATCGGATGTTTAATGTGGAAATACTAATGTGTTATAATAGAATTCTGGATGCACGTGTGTTTTTCCAGTGGACAAAGGCCACTTGTAGATGAACCATTATCCTTCAAAACTGGAGGCGTCTGCTGAGGAAACCTCTGACAGGACAACTACCCAGCCGTTTCCTTGGTGCCAGCCTTCAGCTCACTCCTAATGTTCCTCAGTAGTGTTCAGGAATCTCCACGTCTCCTGTTTACAGCATGCCTGTCTTCTCCATCAACTTTTGTTCCTTTGTTTTGAGGGGGGCAGTTTGAAAGATGGAATTATCCCTTTTCTATAACAAAAGAAATGGCCTCCTGGAATCCTGGATGTTCCTGAGACTCAGGAGTTAAAGATTAAAAGTAAAGTTAGTTGGCAGGTCCCCAAAGACTTTATGTTTATCTTTTTCTGTGTATGTATGTGTGCACATGTGGAGATGCATCCGTGTGTGTGTGTGTGTGTGTGTGTGTGTGTGTGTGTGCACATATGCAGGTGCATCCGTGTGTATGAGTGTGTGTACGTGCATGCGTGCACATATGCAGGTGCGTCCGTGTGTGTGTGTATTTGTGTGTGTGTGTGTATGTGCATGCACACGTCCACATATGCAGGTGCATCCGTGTGTGTATGTGTGTGTGTGTGTACACGTGGAGGTGAAAATTGATGTTAGGTGTCTTCCTGGTGGGTATGAGTCTGTGCATGTGAGTGTAGGTACCCGAAGAGGCCAAGGTGTCCAGTCCACTGGAGCTGGAGTTACAGATGGTTATGGGCTACCTGACACAGATGCTGGGATCCTCTGCAAAGGCAGTATGTGGCCTTCACCGCTGAGTCACCTTTCCAGCCCCCTCCTCCTTATTTTTGAGACAGTGTCTCTTGTTGAACCTAGGACCCATAGACTAGACTAGGCTGCCTAATCAGCAGCCCTGGGCTCCTTCTGTCTCCACCTGCACAGTCCTGGGGTTATAGATCTAAGCTACTCTGAACAGCTTTTTATATGGGTGCTGAGGATTTGGACCCATGTGTTCATGTCCCCATCCCTGTAGCTGCCACATTTTGATTCTATCACAGAGGCTGTTTCTGATTCCATGTGTCCAGTTTCTCTACATGTTTACTGTGACTATACGTTCTGGAATTACATTAACGTGAACACTCTGCATGTGTGTCTGCAGGGGCCCAGGGCGTGGGTTCTGGGGCTTTTCTTTGAGTGGCTTTTATGGAAGCTATGCTCCATTCTTGTATCGGTTCTGAGAGAGAATCTAGTAAAGTCTGTGTTTTTGAATCATTGGATGAACCAGCAGTGTGGGGAGTAAGGCTCCTGGGGTCATCACTTGGTTAGCACGTGGCTGAGCTGGGTTGATCTCATGACTCAAGATCATGTGCATTTCCTATGTTCAACCTGTTACTTGTGCCTTAGACTGTGGGTTAAGGGGTAAGTGGTTTGGGAATGAAGGAGCCATGCTGTTTGGAAAACTGAAACCAGAAAAACAGTCCTTAGTCAATCATCTGTGTTGCTCAGGTGACAGAATTCTGAACGGCTGTTGTCTTGAGGGGATGAGAAGCCGCGTTTGGCCTCTTCAGCAGGCCAGACCAGTCTCTGTTGGAGCATCAGCCTTAGGTTAGTTCTGAGATGGACTCAGAAGCACACTTGAAAGCAGCTTGCGTTATTATCTGCCCATAGCTTACGCTTTAGGACCTGCTTAGCGCCTAGCTCTCGGGAAGAATTGCCTTCTTGACTTCTCCGTCCGTCTTCTCTGCAGATGGGGTGCTCACATCAGAGACAGGCTGGCTTCAGATGTCTGCTCCGGGATATTTTAGCTGAGCTGTAGGAGACCATTAAACAAATGTAAGAGTTTGAGGGGAGAGGAGAGCTGTGTCTCAGACCAAATGTTTTACATGGAGAACATCTGGGGAACATTGGGATTTGTCGGTATGGTACACCAGAAAACAGCCTGGTGGGGCTCCGCAGGGATGCCTCTGGCCCCTGGTGGCTGGGTTTCACAGTTCTGCAGGGAGGGCCTGGTTTTTATGAAGGCAGTGCTCTGGGAGGAGTGTCTCTGGGGCTATGCACTCTGTACTGTGCCGTTTAGCTCAGCGTCCTGACCAGATCACCACCACTCATGAACAGTTTGATATCTGAGCTACCCCCTGAACCCCAGTCTCCAGAGGAGAGAAGTGTTACATCATGCCAATGCGTGCTTTACCAGGTGATTCCATAAACTGCACAGAATGCGGAGGGACATGTGTGACCCAGTGGGAGCAACAGGGCTGCAGCCTGTGAGGATCTGGGTTGAAACTGTCATGTTGACTCATGACCCGTGGGAACATGACATGGTCCTTTTTAGATTGGTTGTTATCTCCTGCAGTTTAGCCTGTCTTGTGAAGGGGGGGCTGTAAAATACAGTGGGGTGACGTGCACTTAGAGGGTCCTGTATACAGCACGGCCCTGTACAGGCTGTGGCCTTAACCACAAGTACAAAAGCAGCTGATGCAGGCCGCAGCGGGGTCGGGGAAAACTGACTCCAGCAACTTGTAGTTAGTGAAGCAGGTTTGAGTGGGAGATGAAGGCTTAGGATAGTCATCCTGTCTGATCCGTCCCAACTCAGGCATTGACAGGAAGTTCTAGCCTCTCCCTTGGCTTTTGGGTACGCAGGAGTCAAGACAATGGCGATTCCTGCCTTGTAGTTTGCCTGCTATGCCCAGGTATTGACCATGAACACCCTTCCTCCTCGTTAGAGTATATTTTGACTGGGGTTTGGGTGGCACAATGACTGATAAGTATTTGTAGGTGTGAACAAGGTTTGCCAGGAGATGCGGAATCTTGCACTTCCGTGCCAAGCATGTCAAAATGGTCCTTTTGGATCTTCCTTCCCCAAGGAAGCCCTACAGTATTTTACCACGCAGTTACTGTGTTCCTGAGAACTATAGGATGAGAGCAAGCCTGAGGAATCCGGATGGGTTCCAAACCTGTCATTTTGACCAGGATCAGGCAAGTGAAACTGTCACATCCCATTCCAACAGAGATTGAGGGTGAGTAGAAGCCACCCGAAGCGAAGGTCTCTGCCCTGCTCTGCAGAATCAATGCTTTCTCTAGAGCCATTTCCCGGCAGTTGCTTGCTGAGGGAATGAACGCATTACCACCTTTTGAAGAAGCACAGCTCCCAGGCCTCCCTGACTGCCTGTGTCTGTCTGCCTTCACTGACCAGGTGGACAGTGGAAAGGTCTACATACGGATGCGTATTTTAAGATGAAAGTGGTTTAAGTGTGAGCCAGAGAAAGGCTTCAGAAGGTGGCTCTGTCCTTAAGTTCAGAGATTCTAGCTGAGCTCACTTACCACCTCCCTACTCCTTGCCAGGGACTGGACCAATCACAGGGTCGCTGGCCCCCGGGCTCTGGGATATATATATTTCTGTATCTCTGAACCAGCAGTTCCCTACCCTCCCTCAGGCTTCATCTATGTTCACCGCGAAAGCATAATACTGTTGTTGCAAGACTTTAATGAGCGGGAGGCTGAGAGATCTAACAGAATGGTACCCGGGGCCAGGCGTCTACTGAGAGCTTGATAACGGGTAATTACCATGATCACTGTTACAATTGCTGTGAGTCACCATGAACCTCTTCTCGGCTCCACTGGAAAGATGGGACGTTCACAGGCAAGGGATCTGGGAGCAGCTGGGGCTTCAGCGCCTCAGAGACAGGTAATGGAAGGCTTGGTGGCAGGTGGCTGTGGTTTGGGTTGGTGGAATGAAGGGACCTGCGGTAGTTTTAGCCCTGCCTTTTAAAACTCTTGGCGTGCATCTTCACAGCCAGTCTTTGGACGGACTCTGTGCTGGGTGCTTGCTCCATCCTGGATGTACTATGGCTTGGTTTGGATATGCTGGAGAGGTGGCTTTGCTGTGAATAGAGTTTATGAATATTGGTGAGGGGGATGGGGTGGGAGGGCACCCAGGTGTCCAACAATAAGACAGTGTCTCAAGACCAATGTGGAATCCTTGGCAGGATGGAAAAGTTAGCAGATGATAGAATGTGGAAGGATCCTGGCAGAGAAAGTGACAGGCAGGAACCTCCAGACATGACACACTTCCCACCCAGGCCTTCCCTGGAGTCCCTAGGATGACCTCAGGGACATGACATACTCTCCTATGCTGGGGAATATTATTTTCAGGTGTGTAATTTTTGGTTTTGGTGAGTTTGTTTAATTCTGTGAAGCTGTGTTACTGTGCCTGCCTAAAACACCTGATGGTCCTAATAAAGAGAAGAACGGCCAATAGCAAGGCAGGAGTAAGGGTAGGTGGGGCCGGCAGGCAGAGAGAACAAACAGAAGAAGGAGCAAGAGAACAAGGAGAGGAGGACGTCAGGGGTCAGCCACTCAGCTACACGGCAAGCATGGAGAAAGAAACAAAGAAAGATATACAGAAATAGAGAAAGATAAAAGCCCAGAGGCAAAAGGTAGTCGGGATAATTTAAGAAAATCTGGAAAAAAACAAGACCAGGCATTCATAACTAAGAATAAGACCGTGTGTGATTTATTAGGGAGCTGGGTGTCTGGCCCCTCAAAAAGCCAAAAGAGTAAAATATCACACAACACTCCCACCCAGGCCATCCCTAGAGTCCCTAGGATGATCACAAGTCCCTTCCTCAATTTTCTCAGGGGTGGGAAACCAAGAATGTAGTACTGGCTAAGTCTCTACTGAGATGGGGCTAGGGGGTTGTTCAGGAAATGCCAGCCCAAGAGGAGTATACTCCATGGGGCCCATTGCCCTTGCTTGGGACTGTTTTGTAGCCAGAAGGGTTGTTGTTGGGGTGCTAATTAGGGAGCTGGGAAGCCTGAAGACCTTCTGTTAGGGGTGTGGGCTGGGATCAACCTATTCATTCAGAACAGTGAGCACCAAGGACTTCCCTTTGCGGGGAACAAAGGTGTTGACTGCTGCTGGTAGGGTGGCTGAGGTGACAGACTGAAGCCTGTGACATCTTCACTCCCTCTGTGCTATGGCCTTGCACACCAGAACTGCTATTCATAACGTCCTAATAGCAGGAATTCTGTCGGGATAAAAATAACTTCTGATGAATCTTTCCTTATCAGTTAGAGCCTCCACGGTAAAGACAATATAAAACTCTCCTGCAAGCAGTGGCTTCATGTCCCTGGACGCCCTTCCCTGTCATGCCCTCCACCAGGGTCCCTCCACATTCTAGCGTCTGTAACAAACTTGCTCAGCCGGCTAACTCTTCTGCATCCACGCCAACACGTGGCTCCGTGGCACATGTGACCCCCCCCCCCCCTTATCAGTCCCCTGATTCTGCCCGGTGTATTTCACCATCTTAAGACTCCAACGTCTTTGTTCAGATCCTCAGCCAAGGTGAACTCCATAGATGAGTTCCCTTTCTCTTTGGAAAGTGATCTTGGCCTTTTAGGTCTTTTGTGTCCTTTGCTCATTGTTTCTAAGGTCAGTGGTTCACTGCCATCTGAAGTTAATATTAATATTTAAAAGTAGCGGTTGCAGAGAATTAAGCAAGGATGGAGGGTGGGGAGCCCCCCCCACCCAGTATGCTTCATGTCTGATAGCAAATCAGCCTTCAGAAATTGGAGCAAGGTTTGTACCCAGCTAAAGCAACATTGTTCCCACAGCTCTGCCGACATCACCCTGACATTGAAGGGAGGTTACAGTCCTGTACCAGGTTATAAAAGAGCTCATATTGCTTAGGCAGAGCTGTCATTTTCTCTCTCAATTTATTAATAATTCTGCCATAGGATCCCGCCTCACGTGTAAATGTTAATAAACCTTTGTGTGCCAGTTTCTACGCCCGGGACTCCCTGCTCGGGCTTTTAGTCTTGCGTATTGTTGAGTTTGGGAGCTGAGCTTATATTTCAACAACCTTGGGACTCTTAGGGCGGCAGGCACGGGACATCCTACCACCTTTACAGCTCCTGTGTCTACTTAGGAAGCCCTGGTTGCTCTTTGCATTCTCTCTGCTCCATCCTGTACACAGCCTGGTATGATTCCCATACTGGCCTCCTGAGGCCAGCCTCGTTGTCAGATGGGAAAACAGAGCTTGTGACTTAATTACTCTAGGACCTCCCAGCAAGTTCCTCAAAGTACTGACAGGCCTGAGTCCTGATGCTGGCTTCTCGGTGGTTCCGTCTGGAACTTTATGGGGTTCAGAAGTCCATAAATACAAGTTGTCCAGCCTTGACTTCCTGAGTCCTGCTCTGAACAGCAGCAGGGTTCCTAGATTGGGTTGGAGATCTTCCAGCTTATAGGCTTGCTTGACCTCAGGTTCATCCCTTCTACCCCTTCTCAGGACAGCTGCCACCTGTCCTGAAAACCAGCTACACTTCATGGGCTGGGGACATGGATTAGTGGGTACGAAGGTGTTTGCTGTGCAGGCATGAGAAACTGAGTTTGGATCTCCAGCTCCACTGTAAAAGACTGGGTGTGTGTGTGATGGTTCACCGGTAATCCCAACACACAGCAGGCAGAGACCAGCTCTTCAGAATAAGCAAACTAGACTAGCCAATGCCACGGACTCTGAATTCAAGGGAGAGACCCCCGCCTCGATATATATGATGGAGACTGACCAAGAAAGACAATGGCAACCTCTGGTCTCCACATGTGTGTGCATACACATACCCAGGGATCCACCCATGTGCCCCGCCCTCCATAAACATGCACATACACCACATAACGTGCACTAAAAATAAATCAGTTGCACTGCAGAAATGTGCACGGCTAAAAATAAGCAGCAATTTGGTGATTCTAGGCACAGCTCCCAGCCTTGCGTTTTGAGTACTTTTGCGTATCTGACCATGTCTGAGTTAACATCT